TGTGTTATTGTTAGTCCAAAGGGGCTTTTCCCCTGAAGGACTATTCTTTCCGTTTTGAGATTTTGCGTCGAATCACTCTGAATGTCCGTGTCACTTTTCAAACTGTTGCCACCAAATATTATCGTCCTGTATTACATTTGAAGAAATTAAATAATGAAGAATCTGCATAAATGTATGTATGTTTCTCGCATTGTTATAAAACAATGGTACCTAGAGCCACCAAATTTTGAATGAAGTAATCCTACTGCGAATATGGACATCTGGAAGCCCGCATTCGAAGTTTAGAATTTGTTTTATTATCATTTTCATATTTTGTAAAACTTTAACGAATTTTTGATTAACAAACTCAAGCATTTCAAAGTTAGAATGGCAGCGTTGTACAGAAAAACATTTTTATCTCCAGCGCGCGTGACTATGTATCGCTATTTTAAAATTGTTGTGCGATATTGCTCTTGAGCTGAATTTTAAGGTTTACGTGCGAAAAACATAATATTTAATAAATCAAGGTAACACACAAAATGAGGGGGAAAAAAAGAGGCCCCTTTGGACGTAATTTAAAATCTGAAACCTTTCAGATTTTCTTTTATTTTTTGTGTTATTGTTTTTAAATGTTCAACGGAACCGTGTGATTCATCCAGTGGTTCATCCTGTTATTTGATGATTTGGGTAAAAAATATTAAACTGATGTATTTAAAATAACGCTTACTGTGATGAAATGGCTTCATTCTTAAATTTAAAAACTTGTGAGCTTTCACGTATACTTAAACCAAAGTGCATGCAAAAAAATAAGAATTTCGTTTTTCTGTTTCTTTCTTCCGCTAGAGATAATTTTTTATGATAAATATCTGGAGGATAACTCGTGTTTTTTAAGTTCTCTTTTCTTTCAAGAGCTTTCAGTAAATGAAAATGCAGAAACTTATTTAAATATCAGAAAGTCGTGCAATAAGATCTTAAAATGAACTAAGACATTTCCTTTTCTTAAGTAAAAATAGTACTTATAAACCTGTTCCTAATTAAATAATTGCAGCGAATAAAAACGCTCCACTATTCTTTGTAAAACTGTGCTACAGATTATTTTTGAACTTTATTCATATTCATTGTGATCTGTTATGTATTAACACGACCAAGGCGTTTTGAGTACGTATCCTCTTTTTAGCTCAGTTTGGTAACGAATCATAAGTCAAAACGGCTCTGAAAGCTTTATAAAAGTGTCTTAGTTAAATAGAATACAAATTAAATTAAGTAGAACTTAATTTGATTATAAGTCTAACTTGAGTAGAAAGCAAAGCAAATTAACAATTTTTAGAGACATTTAAAATTGAAGATGTTGAAAAAGAACTTATTCATCAGTCATAAATATCTTTAGGCTTACGTAATAGGCAATAGTCGCAGGAGTAAATCCCACGACCGATATTTTTAACTGACGAAGCCAGATATAGTCTGAACAGTGATTAAAGACATGTTTTGATCTTGATAGAGAAAGGAACAAGGGAGCACGCAACTTGCCTTCCTTTGGCTGTGAAATATCCCATTTCAGCGTCCGCGGTTTAATGGTCTGGCGAGGAATCATGATAAATGGCCGCACCGAGCTGCAGAGCTTTCAAGAAGGTTCTGTAACCTCTGCGTGGTATGTGGACGAAGTATTGGAACCGAAAATTAGGCTGTTTAGGGTTGCTGTTTGGCCCAGAGGTTTAGCTAATGGATGACAGTGCTCGGCCTCATCGAGCGTATGTGGTGTCGGAATACTTGGAAACCCAAGATATCATTCAAATGTATCTTGGGTTTCCAAGTATTCCGCCTTACTCATCCAACTTGAACCCAATTGAGCATGTGTGGGATGCCTTAGAGCGCCTAATTTCAGCTCGTCAATTTCCTGCCCAGACCCTCCAGGAGCTGAAAATGCAATTCCACAAAACTTAATCAACACTTTGGCAAGTGTATGAAATCAAGATGTGAGATATGCATATCTGCCCGAAGTGACCATTTGGCATATTAAAGAAAAATGTTCTACAAGAAGGTGACTTAATTTTTCCATCATTTTTCATTTTCCATAAATTTGGTTTTAATTTCAAAGTTTTGCGAATAATGAACTGCGAAATGTTGTAATTTATATTAACCAATGCTTTTGTACGAATTTTTATTAATAATTTTTCATCAAGTATCAGTTAGGTTTATTTCTTTCAATACCCTTTAATTTTGATGACCAGTGTATATAGGTATATTCCTGAACCAAAAAGACTAACGCACAAAGCGGTATTACGTAGCCGAGAGCAGCATGCTACATCCCTTTGTTTCTTCTTTCAGCAGCTAACATTGTCATGTGAGCTTTTGCTCTAGTGGTCAGCCCATTTTACCTTAAGAATTGGATTGTCCTTAGGTTGATAGATGCCCGAGTAGCTTCATCAATAAAGCTTTACTTGGCTTCCAGCGGATGGTGTGCTCCGATTCTTTTATTATATCTCACGGGAATGTAGTCTTTTGTTTTCTTTTATATTAGATGGTTATTGCGATGTATCGTCAGAAAAAGTTTTGCGCAAGAAATTCGGTTTCTCCTTTAATCAAACAATTTATTCTGACACTTTAAAAAAAAAAAAAAAAAAAAAAAAAAATTCCCTTTCTTATCTAATCTGGAATAATATTTTAAAATTTTTCTATTCGCAAGTTATTATTAGATTCCCATTGGATTTCTACCTTAGCGCAGAAAGCTAATAGTGTTATCAATTTTTATATATCGCTATTAAATTTAGATATATTAAAATTTGATAGCGTTATTTAGGAAGCAATAGCCATTTTTATTTTGCTCTTATTATACATTTCTGTTGCATTATTATAGCAATATATAGTGTCTAACAAACCAAGATGTAACAAATCATCCGCCTATCGATCAAACTAATTATTCCTAGACGGCCTCTGTTATGGGCCATGTACAATTACGAAAATTCTTCAATAAATCCCAGGTGGCCTCATGAGGCTCCTGGAGTTTGCTGCCACTAGATAGGAGGGCGCGGGACATATGCCTGTTTACCTCTGTTAAACATCAGGCGTCCCCGTCCTCCGTCACCTGTCACCTACATTATTATAGCGTAGAAATACAATAATCAATTATTTAAAATAGATATTTATTTTCCTTGTTTGTAAAGCTCTATGTATTCCAGCTGGAGCGATGTTTCTTGGTTAGGTATTTCAATTTCATGTATTCAAACGCGTTCATTTTCTAGTAGTTTAAAATGAAATGCTGTTTATTCCCTATTCAATGTGTATGAGACCAAATAAAATACCGAAAAGCAATTCAGAAGAGTATTTATATAGGCTTTAAATCAAATTAAAGTTGTATATATAAGTATGATGCAATAAAGTTTGATTATCTTCATTTTTTATTGTTATAATGTTATATATCTATTAAAATTTGTCATATTTTATACAATAATTTTAGCGTGTATTTTTCCTTCGTCGAATTTATAGGTATGTGTTATTGGTTTATTTTATGAACAATTGTATAGATTTTATATTTCTAAATCGATCAACGTTAAAATTGTAAAAAAGTTCAATTAGAAGTCGAGGTAAAGGTAAAAAACTCTTTTGGTGACACTTTTGTCACCACGTTGACAGCATATAGAGCAGAGGTTCCCAACCCTGGCGCCCGTCGTTCGTATAACGTGTGCCCGCCGCTGTGCGATCACAATAAAAAATGTTTTAATTTTCAATAAAATTCTATGTGAAAGTTTTCTCATGTTTAATGAAGTAGAAATTGCGTCCAACATACATACCAACACAAAGCGAAATGCGACCAATCTCTTTTTCATGTATTATTAACTCTATCCAACTATAAATTCACCTTGAGAAAGTAAATGGTGCCCGCCGTCCAGCAGATATTCTAGAATGTGCTCTTACGGACAAAAAGTTTGGGGACCCCTGATATAGCGGTTTTATTCTTCACAAAGCTTTTTTTAAGTTGTCGGCGTTGTAAGTAAACCAGCGCAAGATATGTATTTGATTTTCAACTTGTGTAGTTTTCACATTTTTATTATATATTTGAAATAGGAACGAGGAAGAATAGAAAGCGTGCTTGCAGGACAAAGGAGCTGAGAAGAAATGTACTTGTTGCAATATAGTGATTAGATTAAGAATAATGCAGTTGTGGCTTTATTTTACTCTAGGGCAGAGTTTCTTAAACTGTGAGTCGCTACCCCAATTGTGGTCGCGGGACCTGCAGTAGGGGGGTCTCCAAAAATTTTAAAAGTTTTGATACTTCTTTATCTAATTATAATAATTTTACAATTACCAAATATTTTTTTCATAATGTAGCTGAAAATAGATAAAGATAAGGCAATACAGACATAGGGGGGAAAAAATGAAAACGTTTCGACGCATTTTTTTTAATAGAAACGTTTATTTTCCATTAAAAATTAATGACCTAAAACTACAATAGTATATATTATAGTACAAATGAATAAACTGACAGTTTCATTCACACGTGTGTTGGATTTGCGAAATGCTTATGGGAACCCACAAAATTTTCGTAAATATTACGGGGTCCCTTCAAGTTTAAAAACCCTGGTCTAGGGTTTAGTGGGCAGAGTTTGATAATATTATTATTATTATTGCCTTAATATTTTTTCGGGGAAGGGGGTGGGGGGTTCAAACGGGCAGTTTGCCCAGAAAGGAGGCCATGTGAGATTCGCATTTATTGCATATTGTTTCATATTGTAAGTACTTATTGCCTATCCGATTAACTACTTTCAAATATGATACAAATTGGGTTTTAAAACTTTCGGGCTCTGTATAATTTATTCCGTTTTTAAATTTTTTTCATGAAAAACCAGATTTTTTCCCCCCCTCCCGTCCTAGTTTAAAATACTTCAAATGATATGGTTCCTGAAAATAGTCAAAATATTACATCGAATGTTTAATCGTTTTACTGGTTTTAAGTGCATAGCATTCTGATAATCGTGTAATTTCGTTTTCGCATTCTTCTTACGAACCCTTTCTTTTTCCCGTAGCTGAACACTGAATGGGCTCAAGTGGAATCTATCGACCTGATAAACGATGGATCCGGACTTGGCTTTGGAATCATCGGTGGCCGTAGTACCGGAGTAGTTGTCAAAACCATTCTCCCGGGAGGTGTGGCTGACAGAGTGAGTAATATGTTCATATATCTGCCCATAAAAAGACTGAAATATGTAAAATGCTGTTTTTGATTCCTGTCGTGCCAATAAGAAGTTTCTATTTTCGCAAATAGATGGCGGCACAAGCAAACCATCTTGAGTTCTGCCTCAAACGAGAGGTAACAAATTTTCTCAACGTAACGGAAACTACGAAATTGAGCAATAATTTCATCACTCAGAGCTTGAATTATGCCGGATCCCGGCTTTGGTACTTCTAAGTTTTTAAGATAAATCTTAATTCTAGCCGGAGTGCACTGGAGCCCTTGAATAAGAGTTTTACAGCACTTTTATGTAACTGAAGCACAATATCAACAGAAAATTCTGTAATTCATGAAAGTTTTATTTTAATAATAAGCCTGCCTTTAAAACCAAATTTAATTCTTAATATATGTTTGTCTTTCTCTGGAAATCAAGCTCTTTGATGATCAAGTTAAGATAACAGAAAAGCCCCCACCCAAATGTCAAAGGCCATTTTCTCCAGGAAGTGCAATGAATTTATGAGAATAGTAAATTTTTCGTTCCCGAAAGCACTAGAAGTATAACATTTTGAAAGGATGTAATTAAATACAGGAGTCAAAAGTTTTCACTTGTATAGAACTTTACTTTAGTTCTCAGTTTACAACTCGGACTTTGGAGGACATTTTTTTATACCTGTCACATCCTGCTTGACAGAATGATATCGGCAGGAATTGTGTTTAGAAAGTCTTGGACTCTTCATTGTTTTCATACCTACACTTTTCTGCTAAAATTCTCGTGGCCGTGTTTTTTGCACTAAAATTCCTTCCCCTATAGACGCTACCCGATCAGCCTGCCTCATATTCACAGAGAAAGGAATAATGTGTGATTTTAGTGTAAATAGTACAGTAAATTTTGATTTTAATTTTTGTATTCATTAACTGAATAAAATCGAATTACCTTAATATTTCTTTCTAATGTAATTAGTGAAAACATTTCATTCAAATTAAAACTATTCTGAGCATGAGAAAAGTCTAGCATTTAATTCTGTTTGGAATGAAATGTTGTTTAAAAATGTGTTCTTTTACATACTTAGGATTCTGAAATATTGTAGAAAAAGATAATATATGTATTTATACTTATATTTTTGACATAATTACAAAATTTCAAAACCTTTTGATCGTATTGGCCAGTCACTGAATATTTTGGTAAACAAAAGAGGAACACTGCTTCAAGGAAGCGTATGGAGAAAGCTAATTCAGAGCTCTCCTTTCTTTCATTCCTCCTTGCTCTCATGAATCTTTCTCCTCTCCCTCAATATCTTCTTTTGCCCAAATGATTTATAACTCCTGTCCCTCTAATGCAGGGATCATTCCTCTAATATTTCTGGATTATGCCTGGTTCTTAAATTCAAGCATATCTGTTTGAAGTTTTCGTACAACATCTTTGCATAAAATATTCTGCCTAACAATACAGTGTTCGTAACACTGTTCCATATCATATTATTATGATATGGTTATTGCTGAACTCTATAAGCATATGTAATATTCTAAAATTTTAAGTTGGGTTACAGCCGAAAACATCGCAGACGAAAACGTCGCAGAGAAAACAACGCAAGGCGAAAAACGTCGTGCTACAAAACATCGTGGGAGAAAACATCGCAAAGAGAAAACATCGCAGTTCTAAAACATCGCGGTACAAAATATCGTCGTCGAAAAATAAAGCGGTTCAAAAACTTCGCAGTTTAAAAACATCGTCGTCGAAAATATCGTGGTAAAAAATAAAGTATCTACAAATCATCGCATGACGATAACATCGCAGACAAGCTTTTATCAGGCTTTAATAACTGTAAATAGATATTCCCATAATAATTGTGTGCGCAAGATGAAAAGAAGGATAATTTTTACTTTCACATTTTTTTATTAACTAATAAATTTTTGCTGAAAATTAAGAAGGAACTTAAGCAAAGAAAATTAAATGCAACTTATATAGATTATACTTTTTATGAAAAATTACATGTAAAAACTTTATAAAAAATGATTTATTAAATGGTCTTTGTTAGTTAACTATGTCGGTTTAAAATTCTATTAATGCTATAAGTTTGCATTAATTTTCTATGCTTAAGTTTCCTTCTTATTTCTCAGCAAGAATTTTATACTTAATATAAAATATGAACAACAAAAAATTATCGTTCTTTCCATGTTGTGCTCACAAATCATTACGGGAATATCCATTTATAGTTAGCATGTTTGCGATGTTATCGTCATCCGATGATTTGTAGATACTTTATTTTTTACCACGATATTTTCGACGACGATGTTTTTAAACTGCGAAGTTTTTGAACCGCTTTATTTTCAACGACGATATTTTGTACCGCGATGTTTTAGAACTGCGATGTTTTCTCTTTGCGATGTTTTCTCCCACGATGTTTTGTAGCACGACGTTTTCGCCTTGCGTTGTTTTCTCCGCGACGTTTTCGTCCGCGATGTTATCGGCGGACACCTTAAGTTGAGTACTACCTACCTATTTAAAGCATTTTTATGAAAATTAAGTTTTACGATGCTTATTTAACTCATTTATTAGAAATTTACTCATTAATATTATAATGATGAATACTTTAGAAATTTCAAAGATGAAACTTTCTTTTGAGGTAAAAAGTCAAATAGATTCTGCAATTTAAATGGTATTCTTTTAGACAAATGATTCAATTTTTGTTTCTAATGAATTTTGTATGAAACAGCTAAATAGTTTTCAACTCAGTTCTGCATAACTCCCGATTTAACAGAATAATTTAAACTGTAAGGCAGCAGTTTATTGCTACAGCATTATTCATTGCATGTATCGCAAATTACGATTTTAATTTTTTATATAATCATATTTTTATTATATTGGTTTTTAATATTAGCTCAAAATGAAAATATTTTTACATGAGCTACCAAAACCAGTGACCTGTTGGTAGCTGACGATTGAAGTTTTGGCGACACATGTTCTAGATGTTACTTAACTTAACTTAGCCTGAACTTACTTACTTTAACTTAGCCTGAACAGAAAATATGTATTTCACGGTTAAAGAAATAATACAATAATAATTGAGAAGAAGACTGTGAATCACATTTGATATTTAACATAAAACAGTTTTAATAAATTCTCATATTTTTCATTGGGTTGGATTTTGATTAATTGTAGGGCATGTGAACACAATCATTCTAGCAAGAAGGTTGTTTTCACGAAATGTTTTTTACCAAGAACTGCCTGATCTTCACATTATACATATGAAAAATTCTGAATAATGACTCTTTTGTTAAGAAGATACTTTGCATAAAGATATGCAAATTTTTCAAAAGCAAGGCCTTTTGAGATATTACTGCTTTAATTCCACAGTGAGGTTAAGTAGTACTTTTTCCCCAATACAGGCAATATCTGCCAGTTGTAAATTTTTAATGATGGCTTAGTGCTTAACTGAAATGTGAATTAAGCTCTTCATGACCATTAAAATTAAACTCAGACAGATGGAAAGAAATTTTTAGCATCATAATTCATTTCTAAGAGTTTTAAAATTTATTTAGTGAAATAACTTTTTCCCATTTGTTTTATTAAATTGGAGTATTTAAAAAAAATGTTAAATTACAGAAATGAAATAGTCATTTTCTTCCTAGGTAAGTATTCCTGAAATGTTACTCTGCAATTATCTTTTTTGACAATAACAAGAGAGAAGATATAAAAAAAAATTTTTTTTAATTATAGCATAAAAATAAGCATTGTTTTGTGTATGCGGAAGTTTAATTTAAGAAAATGATGATGTTACATTTGTTACTTCTAGAAGTAATTCTTTCAGACTGTGTAACTCAGTGGTTTGTCAACTCCAGACACAAGAACTAAATGGGATCAATTCATTGAATTGCAGATAAGTATGGGGGTCCAGATAATTGTCCTTTAGGAAACCAAACTAAGAGAGCATTCTGCTATCAAATTTAAAAACTTTAGCATTTATCAATTGTACAGACCACATGGGGGGTAGCAGCCTGGCATTATTTGAGACATCAACTACAGAAACATTTCTGTGACTTTAAGGGACTATGATTTGGAGATGCAAGGTATCTTCATCACGTGGAAGAATAGGACATGTAACATCTTCAACATGTACTATCTGCCAAATCAATCTCATTTATCTGATGAGTTCTTTTGACTTTGCTGATAAAAACTCCATATTTCTCGGCGATCTTAACACCAAACATTTATCTTGGGAATGTTTGATGAATGATAAAAGGGGCTGCAACCTTTTGGATGCTGCTGAAGACAGGCTTCCATTTTTCTAAATAATGGTTCTCCTACTTATAACTGTTTTAGCTACTGCCTTTCCGAGCCTTTGGATTTTTCTCTTGACAGCCCTACATTTTACCCACATTGCGACTGGACTACACTTGACAGCATTGGCAGTGACAGGGTTCGTAGTGGTCCTTATAAGTGCTTATAAGTCCTTATATTTGAAAGTAAAATATAAAGGCCCTTATAGGTGCTTACTTTTTCTTTAAAGCCCTTATTTTTTTGTTTTTAGTGGTTTTTTTGTTTTTTAAATGAACACGCAAATTTTTTCCGTACCAAAGCCAAAACTAAATAAACAACTTTTCTTCCTAATATGGAATGTCAGATCGTGAATCATGCTCCCGGAAATAGCTTTTCCCCCTTTCTCTGCATTAACATTACTTTTGGTGTGCACGGAGAGTACAGACAAGTGCCCGTCGTTCTGTTGGCCAAAGAATTGCGAAAGCAGTAGAAAATTCCAGTACATTCGGCATTCTTTCCTTCCTCCCACCCAAATACTACACACGTCTGAATTTCTATCAAGATCTTAATAATTTGCAATCTTGTTCCGCTTGGTCAGTTCATATTCGTGTTTATTATGATCGTTATGCTTATATTATGAGTATATGTATGAATGTTTATAATGGGTGTACTCCAACTGCACTAATGAAAATCCCCCCCGGGTCGAGCTATAGTCCAACTGCGCCAATCAA